GGGTTGTAAGCAAGTCATGAATCACGGAATTCTCCTGAAACCAATATTGCACTGTATGTTAAGTTAGTAGAATATAAATAATCATTTTAAAAGAAAAAAAAATTCAAAAGGACAATACCTTTACAAGCAATGCCTGTATTTACTGAATAAAAAATGTATTAAGTGGACCACACAATTCAAAGTGACGATGGACAACGGTCAATTATACTACTGGAAATCCCAGCCAGAGCAATTACACAAGAAAAATAAAGAAATAAAATACATCCAAATTGGAAAGGAAGAAGTAACGGTCACTATATTCAAATGACATTTTACATGTAAAAAAACCCTAAAAACAACATGAAAAACACTTAAACAGATTCAATAAAGTTGCAGGATAAAAAGTACATAAAAATATGTTCCATTTTTATATACTAATAATGAACAGGAAAATAAATTTAAAAAATCATATTTAAAACTGCATCAAAAAAACCCACAAAAAACACTTAAAGATAAATTTAACCAAGGAGGTGAAAGCCTATATACTGAAAAGTGTAAGACACTAAGGACAGAAACGGAAGACAACACAAGTAAATCGACATTCCATGCTCATGGATTAGAAGAATTAAGTGTTAAAATGTCTATACTACCCAAACCGTCTAGAGATTGAATGCAATTCTTACCAAAATTCGAAACACGTTTTACAGACATAAGGCAAAGAATCTTTAAAATTTGTATGGAGGGGCGCCTGGGTGGCTCAGTTGGTTAAGCGACTGCCTTCGGCTTAGGTCATGATCCCAGAGTCCCGGGATCGAGTCCCACGTCAGGCTCCCTGCTCAGCAGGGAGTCTGCTTCTCCCTCTGACCCTCCCCCCTCTCATGCTCTCTATCTCATTCTCTCTCTCAAATAAATAAATAAATAAATCCTTTAAAAAAAAAAAAAAGATTAGTATCCAGTACATATAAAGCACTCCTACACTCAATAACTACAGCAAAAAACAAAGTGGTTAAAAAGTGGGAGGATTATCCAAATGGACATTATCCAGAGAAGACATCCAGAGAGCCAACAGGGACGTGAAAAGATGCGCAACATCATGAATCATCAGGGAAATGCAAATCAAAACAACAGTGGGATAGCACCTCACACTGGTTAGAAAACTTAGTATCAAAAAGATGAGAAATAACACATGTTAGCAAGGATGTGGCCGAAAGGGAACCCCAGTGAGCTGTTGGTGGGAATGTAGGTAGGTGCATCCACTGTGGAAAAGAGTATGCAGGCTCCTCAAAACATTAAAACTAGAACGAGCCTACAATCCAGCAATTTTTCTCCTGGCCATTTAGCCATAGAAAACAAAAACACCCATTTGAAAAGATATCTGAACCCCCATGTTCACTGCAGCATTATTCATAACAGCTAAGACAGGAGGACAACCTACATGTCCACGGAGGGATGAATCGATAAGGAAGATGTGGTGTATGTAGACGCTGCAATACTCTTTAGCCATAACAAAAAACGAAATCGTTCTTTTTACAACAACATGGATGGACCCTGAGGGCACGATGCTAACTGAAAGAAGTCAGAGACAAATACTCTATGACAACACTTTTATATGGAATCTAAAAACACCAAAAAACTGAGCTTAAAGATACAGCAGTCAGATTGGTGGTTGACAGGCAGGGGGATGGGTGTGAAATGGGTGACAGGGGTCAAAGGTTCAAACTTACAGGTATAAAGTAAGTCAGTCACAGGATGTAACGTACAACATGGCGGCTATAGTTAATAACACTGTATTACAAGCTTCGAAGTTGTAAAGAGAGTGATCTTACAAGTTATCCTAAGGAAAAGGTCTTGTAAAACACTCCAAGACAAAACTGGATTTAAACAGGTAAGCCGTACACCATTGTTCAGGGGACTCAGAAAGTGCAGGGACCTGCCCAAATCTGTGCGGGAAACTGCCCTCCTGTTCCTCACAGAGGCTAAAGGAGAGCTTTGTACACTGGTGAGTGCGTGCACAGAACAGCATGTAAAGTGCTGGGCTCCTCTCTACCCAGAGCAGTGGGCACTGCATCCCGCTTAGGGGTACAGGAAGAAGCAGGGAGTTCCTGGGAGATACTGAAGAAGTTGAGGAAGAACAAGGCAGGGTGTATGGAAAGTGCCTTACCGGTTTTCCAAATCCCTGGGCATGTTCCATCGTGTAGGTGTCTTTTGAGATGCTACCAAAGGTCGCCGCTGCGGTCTACTCAGGCTCTTGCGGCTGCAGCCAACTTCTTTAACTCACTGACAACCTCTGAGTCATCACTGTCTCTTGACCGTCATTCTAGGGGGAGAGGAGCACATAAAATGGGTCTCATTTCTCTCAGTTGGGATGGTCTGTCAGCCCTTGATCTGAATCACTAACCAACGCCGTTACACCTGTGCCCATAAAACACTGCGAGTGAATAAAGACTACGACGGTAACAGAAATAGAGAATACTTATCCCTCTGTATTCCTCTGTGTTAGGCCCTATTCTAAGCTGTAAGGTGCAGAGTCAAGCAGAGAGGCATGAGGGTTTCGGATACGCCCCAATCATGGAGAGGCTGGAAGCACAGGTTTTGGAGCTGCAATGACAAGGGCTTGAAATCTGGTTCCAAGCACTATCTGCGTCTCTAAGACTCAGAGGCCTATCAGGATCCTAGCCCACGGAGATGTGCAAACTGATAAAGGGTGTAGAATGCTTAGCCAGCGCCAGGCACAGAGCAGCTCCTCAATTAACTCACGATGATAATCATGAGGATGGCAATCACGGTGTTCCTTCCCCGGTGCTAGCAATAACAATAACTAATACTTCTGTGATTTTAATCCCAAAGATTCATACTGCACTTATCTCGTGCCAGGAACCATGATTTACATTGACTTTGGAAATGGGTTCTGTGTACTACTTCACTAAATCCCCAAAACAAGCCTATATAGGTCCTCGTTGCAGGCCCATCTCTCAGATGAGAATTCTGAGGCCTGGCGATTACCTATCTTGCTCAAGGTCACACAGCTGGAAGTGGAATAAGAGGAATGACAACCTGTACTCTGAACCAGTCTAGAGGAAACCCATTACCTACGTTAAATCTGCACCGTAACCCTAAAGTTTTGCTGTTCTGCCCACTTTACAGATGGAGAGACTGAAGCTCAGGCCCAGGGCAGAGGCCGAACTCACCTGGCCTCCCCAATGGGAGGAAGCAGGACTTGGCACTCCGCCTCAGGCTCGGCCTCTGGGTCCTGGGTGGCCCCCTGTGTCCCCTGCAGATACCAGGCTGAGGGGCACGTCTTCCTCAGAACCGCAGCATGCTAGGGTTCCAAGGACGCCGCTGCCCCCGGCTCCCTCTGCTCCCAGCCATACCGCCACTGCCCCCAGCTACTGCCACTGCCCCCAGCTACCGCCACTGACACCCGCTGCCCATCGCAGACGGTGCTGTTGACTGCCGACATGGCTGGCCCACGCTGCCGCCTTCTGCCGCCTGCTGCTTGCTGGCGCTGGCTGCCCAGCGCTGACCCTGCCCGTACCACCACCGGGCCGCTGCCCCCGCCAGCTGCTGCCAGTTACCGCTGCCTACCGCCCCAGCCACCTGCCCGCCTTCGCTTCCTGCCGCTGCCGCCTGCCACCCTTGCCTGCATCCCCTTGTCTCCGCCTGCCTGCCTGCACCCCCTGCTGCCTTTTACCACTGTCTACCGCCGCCACCTGCAGCCCGCCACCTGCCACCTCCTCTGCTGCCACCAGCCTCCGCTGCCTAAACTGGACGGTGCCTGCCAACGCTGCCAACCTACCGCCGCCACCTGCTGCCGCTACCCCCTGCAGCCCGCTTGCCTCCGCTGCCTGCGGCCAATGCCGCCTGCTGCCCCCACTGCCTGCCCCCACTGTGGCCCGCCTCCCCCTGCCACCTGCCCCCACTGGCCGCCGCTTTCTGCCACCGCTTATGGCTGGCTGCGATTATCAGCCGCCGCTTCCTGCCTGGGCCCTGCGGCCTGCAGGCCGCCACCGCCTGCTGTTGCTTACCTACCACTGCCGCCTACCACCGCCTGCTGCCACTTACCACTACGCGCCACGGCAGCCCACTGCCACCACATGCCTACCGCTGCCGCCTACCTAACGCTGCTGCCTGGCCCTACCGCCTGCCGCCGCTTCCTCCCGCCGCTTACCACTGCCTGCCCCCGTCTGCCACCTCTTGCCACCACGGCCCCCTGCCTGCCTCCAGCCGTGGCCTGCAAGCCGCCGCCAACTGCCACCGCCACCTGCCCGCCGCCGCTTCCTGCCGCCACCACCTGTTGCCACTTGTGGCTACTGCCTACCCCCAAAGCTGCAGTCTGCCTGCAACTGCCTGCCGCAGCCTGCGTGCCCCCGCCCCCTGCCGCCGCCGCCGCCTACTATCTCCTTCCACCGCCCGCCGCCCTTGCCTGCCTGCCGCCGCCGCCTGCCTGCCTGCCGTTGCTTACCACAGCCTGCGACCGCTTCCTGCCGCCGCCTGCAATCGCCTACCGAGGGCGCCTGTCTGCCAACCCTGCCTGCCGCCGCCCACCACACTTGCCTGCCGCTACCTGCCTCCCTGCCCCCACCGCTTACTGCCGCCCCCTGCCTCCACTGCCTCCACCGCCTCCCGCTGCCACATACTGACCCCACTAACCCGGCACCTACCGCTGCCGCCGCCCGCTGCTGATACTCCTGCTGCTGCCTCTGGTGCCCGGAGCTTCCGCTGCTCCCCAACGCTGAAGCCGACTGACGCCCGCACTACTGCTGCCGCCGCTGCCGCCCCTGACGCCCCTGATGCCCCTGACGCCCCTGACGCCCCTGACGCCCCTGACGCCACTGACGCCGCCGCATAACCCGAAGATGCCCGCCTGCGCTTCCGGCGCCCCTCCCTACGCTGACACACGCTGCCGCCGCTGACCCGCCTGCTGCTGACCCCGCCCCTATCGCGGCGCCTGCTTCCTCCGCCGGTGACTCCGGCTGAAGCCAATGGCACCTGCTGCTGAGGCTGCCACACACCGTCGCCCAATGACCCGGGGCTGCCCAAAGCTGGCGCCCCTGCAGCCCTTGCCGCCCCTGCAGCCGATGCAGCTGCAGACTCCACCTGCTGTTGCTGTCACCGCTGCCACCTCTGCTGCTGCCCGCTGCCGCCTGCCACCGACTGCCACCGCCTGCCTGCTGCTGCCTGCCGCCGCTGCCCACCACTGCTGCCACCGCCGCCTGCCACCGCTTCCCTGCGGCCGCCACCAGTCAGTACTAGCCCTGCCGTCTGCCACTGCCGCCCCTGCTGCCGCTTACCTCTGCCTGCCGCCGCCACCTACCTTCTGCCACCCACCGCCCTTGCCTGCGCCTACAGCCTGCTGCCCGACGGCATCCGTGTCCGCCTGCGTGCCACCGCCGTCTGCTGCCGCAGCCTGGCTCCACCGGGCCCAGCTACCTAACCCCGAGAATGCATGCCAACGCTGCCTGCCTACCCCAACCGCTGCCGGCACCGCCTGCCTACCGCTGCCACCTGCCAATCGCCACAACGGCCGCCTGCCTAATGCTGCTGTCTGCCACCTGCCTGCCCCCGCCGCCTGCCTTCTGCCGCCGCCTGCTATATCCTTGCACCACCCGCGGCCCTTACCTGCCGTGGCCTGCCTGCCAGCCGCTGCTTACTGCAGCCTGCACCTGCTACCTCTTACCTGCTGCCACTACCTGCCTACCGCTGGCGCCAGCAGCGCACTGCCCCCACTGCCTGCCTCCGCTGCAGCCTGCCTCCTCCTGCCACCTTCCCCCGCCACCTGCCTCCGCTGTCTCCTGTGGCTTCCTGCCACTGCCGCCTGACACCGCTGCCGCCGCTTCCTGTTGCCGCCTGCCTGACGCTTGCCGGGGCTTGCCTGCCTGCCGCCCCAGCTGCCTGCGTCCCACCGCTTCCTGCCGCCGCCGCCTGCTACCTCCTCGCACCGCTCGCCTCCCTTACTTGTGGCTGCCTGCCAGCCACTGCTTACCACAGCCTGCCCCCGCTGCCACCTGCTGCCACTGCCGCCTGCCTTCGCTTCCTGCCGGGGCTGCCTGCTACTACCTACCACCACCGCCTGTCTGCCAACCCTGCCTGCCGCCGCCCGCCATCCTTGCCTGTGTCTCCCTGCCTCCGCCTGCCTGCCCGCACCCCCTGCCGCCGCTTACCGCTGCCTACCGCCGCACCCTGCCGCCACCACCACCACCACCTGCCTACCGCGGCCGCTTGCAGCCCGCTGCCGACGTTGCCTGCCACCGCCTGTCTGCCCCCACTGCCCACTGCCCGCCACAGCCCACTGCCGCTTCCTTACCACCGCCCGCCACCGCACTCCGCCACCACCGCATGCCTACTACTGCCGCCTCCCAACAGCTGCAATTCCCGCCTTCCTAACACTGCTGCCTGCGGCCACCACCTGTCCCCGCCACCCGCCTGCCACTGCTTCCTGCCACCACCGCCTGTTGCCATCTGCGGCTACTGCCACCCGCCTCCGCTGCCTAACCTCGACGATGCCTTCCAATGTTGCCTGCCTACCGCCGCCACCTGCTGCCGCTGCCCCCTGCAGCCCGCTTGCCCCCACCGCCTGCCGCTGCCGCCTGACGCCGCTGCCGTCTGCTGCCCTCACTGCTTGCCGCCGCTGCGGCCCGCCTCCCCCTGCCACCTGCCCCTGCCGCCTGCCGCCGCGTTCTGCCACCGCTTACGGCCGGCTGCGACTATCAGCCGCCGCTTCCTGCCTGGCCCCTGCTGCCTGCAGCCCGCCACGGCCTGCTGCTGCTTACCTACCACCGCCTGCTGCCACTTACCACTACCCGCCACGGCAGCCCACTGCCACCACATGCCTACCGTTGCCGCCTACCTAACGCTGCTGCCTGGCCCTGCCACCTGCCGCCGCTTCCTCCCGCCGCTTACCACTGCCTGCCCCCGTCTGCCACCTCTTGCCACCGCCGCCCCCTGCCTGCCCCTAGCCGGGGCCTGCCGGCCGCCACTACCTGCCCCCACCACCTGCCCGCCGCCGCTTCCTGCCGCCACTGCCCGTTGCCACCTGCGGCTACTGCGTTCCCCCAGTGCTGCAGGCTGCCTGCAACTGTCTGCCACCTGCCTGCCGCAGCCTGCCTGCCCCCGCCCCCTGCCGCCGCCGCCGCCTGCTACCTCCGTCCACCGCCCGCCGCCCTTGCCTGCCTGCCGCCGCCGCCTGCCTACCTGCCGCTTCTTACCCAAGCCCGCCACCGCTTCCTGCCGCCGCCTGCAATCACCTACCGCCGCCGCCCACCACACTTGCCTGCCGCTACCTGCCTCCCTGCCCCCACCGCTTACTGCCGCCCCCTGCCTCCACTGCCTCCAACACCTCCCGCTGCCACATACTGACCCCCACTAACCCGATACCTACCGCTGCCGCCACCCGCTGCTGATACTCCTGCTGCTGCCTCTGCTGCCCGGAGCTTCCGCTGCTGCCCAACGCTGAACCCGACTGACGCCAGCACTACTGCTGACGCCGCTGACGCTGCCGCGTAACCCGACTATGCCCGCCGGCGCTTCCGGGGCCCCTCCCCACGCTGACCAATGCTGCCGCCGCTGACCCGCCTGCTGCTGACCCTGCCCCTATCGCGGCGCCTGCTTCCGCCGCCGGTGACTCCGGCTGAAGTGAATGGTACCTGCTGTTGAGGCTGCCACACACCGCCGCCCAATGCCCCGGGGCTGCCCCAAGCTGGCGCCCCTGTAGCCCTTGCCGCCCCTGCAGCCGCTGCAGCCGCCAACGCCACCCACTGGTGCTGTCACCGCTGCCACCTCTGCTGCTGCCCGCTGCCACCTGTCACCGACTGCCACTACCTGCCTGCTGCTGCCTGCCACCGCCGCCTGCCACCGCCTGCCTGCTGCCGCCACCAGTCAGTACTACCACTGCCGTCTGCCACTGCCGCCCCCTGCTGCCACTTACCTCTGTCTGCCGCCGCCACCTGCCTTCTGCCACCCACCGCACTTGTGTGCCTGCCGCGGCCGCCTGCCTGCTTGCCGTTGCTTACCACAGCCTGCCACCGCTTCCTGCCGCCGCCTGCAATCGCCTACCGCCGCCGCCCACCACACTTGCCTGACGCTACCTGCCTCTCTGCCCCCACCGCTTACTGCCGCCCCCTGCCTCCACTGCCTCCACCGCCTCCCGCTGCCACATACTGACAGGCCCCACTAACACGGCACTTACCGCTGCCGCCGCCCGCTGCTGATACTCCTGCTTCTGCCTCTGCTGCCCGGAGCTTCCGCTGCTGCCCAACGCTGAAGCCGACTGACGCCAGCACTACTGCTGACGCCGCCACGTAACCCGACTATGCCCGCCGGCACCTCCGGCGCCCCTCCCCACGCTGACTCACGCTGCCGCCGCTGACCCGCCTGCTGCTGACCCCGCCCCTATCGCGGTGCCTGCTTCCCCCACCGGTGACTCCGGCTGAAGCCAATGGCACCTGCTGCTGAGGCTGCCACACATTGCCGCCCAATGACCCGGGGCTGCCCAAAGCTGGCGCCCCTGCAGCCCTTGCCGCCCCTGCAGCCGCTGCAGCCGCAGACGCCACCCACTGGTGCTGTCACCGCTGCCACCTATCCTGCTGCGCGCTGCCGCCTGCCACCGCCTGCATGCCGCTGCCTGCCGCCACTGCCCACCAGTGCTGCCACCGCCGCCTGCCACCGCCTGCCTGCTGCCGCCACCAATCAGTACTACCACTGCCGTCTGCCACTGCCGCCCCCTGCTGCCGCTTACCTCTGCCTGCCGCCGCCACCTGCCTTCTGCCAACCACCGCTCTTGCGTGCGCCCGCCGCCTGCTGCCCGCTGGCATCCGTGGCCGCCTGCCTGCCTCCGCATCCTGCCGCCGCCTGCCACCGCCGTCTGCTGCTGCAGCCTGGCTCCACCGGGCCCAGCTACCTAACCCTGAGGATGCATGCCAACGCTGCCTGCCTACCCCCACCACTGCCGGCACCGCCTGCCTACCGCTGCCACCTGCCAATCGCCACAGCTGCCGTCTGCCTATTGCTGCTGTCTACCGCCTGCCTGCCCCCGCCGACTGCCTGCTGCCGCCGCCTGCTATGTCCTGGCACCACCCGCGGCCCTTGCCTGCCGTGGCCTGCCTGCCAGCCGCTGCTTACTGCAGCCTGCACCTGCTACCTCCTACCTGCCGCCTCCGCCTGCCTACCGCTGGCACCTGGAACCGGCTGCCGCACTGCCGGCCGCCACTGCAGCCTCCCTCCTCCTGCCACCTTCCCCCGTCGCCTGCCTCCGGTATCTTCCGCCGCTTCCTGCCACCGCCGCCTGACACCGCTGTGGCCGCTTCCTGTTGCCGCCTGCCTGCCGTTTGCCGGCTCTTGCCTGCCTGCGGCCCCAGCTGCCTGCGCCCCACGGCTTCCTGCCGCCCCTGCCTCCACCGCCTCCCGCTGCCACATACCGACGCCCACTATCCCGGCACCTACCGCTGCCGCCACCCGCTGCTCATACGGCTGCTGCCTCTGCTGCCGGGAGCTTCCGATGCTGCCGAACGCTGACTCCGACTGACGGCCAGCACTACTGCTGCCGCCGCTGACACCACTGATGCCACCGTGTTCCCCGCAGGTGCCCGCCGGCGCTTCCGACACCCCTCCCCACGCTGACCCACGCTGGAGCCTCCTAGCCTCGCACAGGCACCATGCTCCTCAACATGGGCACGCTGCTCAGCCCGTCAGAGCGCCAGGCCAGGCCTCCCAGAAGGCGGGGGCACCCGGAGCTTACCGGCCTCGCCGACGAACACCTCCACGGGCGCGCTACTGGGCTCTCGCCGATGATGTTGTAGGCCGTCAGGATGACGTCATAGCACCAGTGTTTCTCGGAGCTACAGGTGGAAAGAGACAGGGGTCAGCTGGCCTGGGAACACCTCGCTCTTCCCACTCCTTGAACATTTAGCTTTGCTGGGCCCTTGTAAATCTTACCTTCCCTTGTGTCCTCGGTGAAATCCCTTTTCCCTGACAACCTATCTCAAATGGCTCCTCCTCTGTGAAGCCCCCCCTGATCGCCACACTGGGTGCAAGTCCCCAAAGCCCAGGAGCTCTCCATGGGCCACCCCTCTCCATGCACACCTGGGCTGCCACAGAGACCTGTCCACCCCAGTGGCTGTGCCCCCTGGAGGTGAGCCCCATCTCCTCTGGCCCTCCAGGGCATCTCCCACCCAGGTTTGTGGCAGCCTCACTGGGGGCGGGGCGTGCAGTGAGTGCTCTGCATGCCAGATCACCCCTATTCTGCCCTGACTCAGACCTAAGCTGGAAGCCCCGTGGTCCCTCCAATGTCAGGTGGCAATGAAGGGCGGGCCTAGGGTAGGGCAGGTGCTCATTTGACATTTTGACACCCTGTGGAACATGAATGGTGGTAGCCAGGCCCTGAATCTCAGAATTGAACCCACACCAGGATGCACACAGAGATGCCCAGCTCACATTCTCCCTCCCGTCAATTTGTTGGTTAATTAGTCTGGGGAGGGCTGCAGCAGCCAGAGTGCAGGCCAGGGGGCCAGGGGCTCTGGGTCCCGGGTCTCCTCTGGAATACTCAGCAAATAAGGACAAGAACCGCTCAAGCTGTGACCAGACAGATGGACAAAGGGCACGCCCATGACCCCTGGCTGCAGCAGGGCAGTGAAGCTTGTCCAGAGATGGATGCACGCTGAATTCTCAGTGATGCCTACACAGCCGCTGTCTATAGGATGCCACCAGCAACTTAGGAAATGCTGTCCTGGTCTCAGAGTAGAGGCCACAGCTTTGTTGTACGAAAACTGCTCTGTTCTGGGTTGAACTGTGTCCTCCAAAAAGATACGTTGGTGTTCTAGCCCCTGGTACCTGTGGATGCCAGCTTATATGGACACAGGATTTTGCAGACCTTGCAGTTAAGAGCAAGTCACAGTGCAGTAGGAAGCACCCTAATCCAGGGACTGGTTTCTTTTTTGGACGGCAATTTGGTTTTATTTATCAAGGTTTTCAATGCACTTGCCTTTTAACCCAACAATTACACTTCTAGAAATCTACCTGACATAAATGCATGTATAGAGACCTGGGTCCTACAAATACAAGCTAAACCTACCGATGCCTCCAAAACCCCAAAACAAAGCATCGAGGGGTCTTTTCAATGACACCTAAAGTCAAGAGGACTAACTTCAAGCTTGAAGGTCACTAACAGCAAAGCTGCTTGTAAATGTAACTGCAAACTCTGGACAGATGAACATGAGCAAGGTATTATAATAGCTAATTCACATGGGGAGCCCAAGTGTTCCACATGATCCGTTGCTGAACATGAAGAAAGGCATATTTTGAGAAGCAATTTAGGATCCAGCAATCCTTTGACAAATAGTGAGGCAATAAGGCGATCCAAACATCCTGAGAAGAGGAGAGAAATTTGGACACACCGCTGGGAGGGCGTCCTGTGAGCACAGAAGCAGAGACTGGAGCCATGTTTGCAATGTTGTGACTTGTAAGAAGAATATCTATTTAGCCATTCAGATGAGAAAACTTGTTTCTCATATACACGTCTTTGTCCAGAGTGACAAAGGTGTCTCTTGTCATGTTAATGAGGATGTGGGCTGGTCACCAGGACAACCAACGTTGTGATCAGAGGGTTGGAACTTTTGGTCCCACCCATGACTTCTGAGGACAGGAGAGGGGCTGGAGGTTCAATCAATGGCCAATGGCCAATGCTTTCATCAGTCTAGCCTATGGAATGAAGCCTCCATAAAAACCCTAGAGGACAGGTTCGGCCTGATGTGTGGAAGTAGAGAGAGCAATGGGCTGCAATGCCTGGAAGGTGGCCAGAAGGTGGCAAGAGCTCAGTGCACGCCGGCCTCTTTTGCCTTCTATCTTTGGTAGGTGTCAGATCAGCCCTTTGGATTGTTTTTCAAGCACTCTGGGTTCAACCCCTGCCTCACTTAAACCATCTGCTCTAGATCTTGTCCTAGAGTGATCACACGCGGGGACACCGGCTCACACTCTGAGCAAGGCCATGGCACCACGTGGACGGTGCTGGCCCTTGGGTGCTTCCCGAGAGGCCACCAGGTGGGCGCCAGGGCACAGAGAGGGGAAGGGCCTTGCCTAAGGTCACACAGCTCCAGAGCCTGGCGCTAGGCACTCCCAGATGGGAGGTAGGACAGGCCATCTCTCCGAGCGCACCCGTTGGCTCTGCGTGCAAGTGCCTTCCTGTCGTCCTCTTCCCTCAGACCTCTGGGTCTGGCCCTGACCTCCACACCTGGAATTGGGGTGGCCTTGGTTAGGGAGCCTGCTGAGGCAGATTCCACAGCGAGGCTGAAGGGCAGGCATGTCAGGGGCTTGCCGAGATGGGAACTCACAGAAGATTGGTGTGGGAAAAGGGGGTCGGGGGGGGGTCTATGAAGT